AATATACATTATTTAAAAGTTTCCATTATAAATATGAAATGCATTAACTTATACATAGGTAATATAGTAATTTATTTATTTATTTACCTATTTATTGTCAGATTTTGCAATATATCATACATTTTATATTATTAAACAATAAACTTGTTCACCTCCTTTAAGCTTGCTTGTGATGGAGGTGAGAGTTCTTATGTATAAAAAATATATAGGTATTTACATTCTTATTAATCAAAAATAACATATACATGACAGTTATTTTTTTAAAATACATTATCTTTTATGAACATAGAATAGTAATAGGTATAATAAACATTTAATAATATGCAGAAAAATAAATTATTTTAAGTAAAGCATTTTTATAACAAAAAATATTTTGATATGAATTAAAATTAATATTTAATGATATCTATAGCTCAGTTGAAGTATTACTACAACTTCTTAGTCCAAAATGTTTTTTATAATTTGTTTTAATATTACATTTATATATTTTTTATACCTAGTATTATGATTATGATTATAAGTAATTAAACAGTTTTTATTTTTATAAGCTAGTAAGTTTTTTAAAATTATTTATTAAAGTCAAACACATTGAGATCATTATAAAAGAAACATATCCTATAAAAACAAGGTACCTTTAGAATATATTTAACTATTTTATTTAGAATAGTTTTTAAATTAATTAAGTGCGTATTAAATGTTCCTCCCCATATTTCAATACCATATGTAATAACTGGATGTGGAAAGAAAGATAAATTATTCTTAAGTGTTTCTTGTCTAGTATCTGTATATATCTTATGTTTCTAAAAACAAAAATTGTCTAACTGTTGTTATACCATAGTCAGGGTGCTTTTTCCATTTCAAGTTGGTATTTATATGTAAACCTAAGTATTTTAAGCTATCAACTTTATCAATATTCTTACATGTACAATTTTAGCATTAATATCCAGGTTCAATAAATCATTTATATATAAAATAAATATAGGTCCTTTTATAAAAATTGTATTTAGTACCTGGTGTACTATATGTTTTCCATCAATACTTCCACAGCAATTTGGCATTTGCCACTTATCATAAAACTCATTGGCCAGATTTTTCCATTTATTAGTATCTGGTAGAGGCAATAACTAAAAAACAAATATTTTAATATAGATTAGGCCAAGTAGTATATACTATACAATGCAAGAATTATATTAAATATTATATAAAATATACTTTGCTGCTTAATATTTCCCATAAAGCTGTACAACATTCAAATAATAATTTGGAAATAGTTGACTTTCCAATACGGAAAGCATACATAATTGATAGGTACCATTGAATCTCCAGATGCAAGGTATCTGAAAAATTTAAATTAAATAAAATATTGTGGTTTTTAAAATATTTTTTGATAGAAACTACAATTTAGTGTCAAGTAAATTGTTTATAGTTTTCATTTGTAAATTAAATGTTCATATTGTACCTCAAAGTGGCTGTTAAAATCTCCCCAACTGACAATATATCAGGACGACTAGGCACACGTTCTAATTTATGTCCTACCTCACACACTAGTTCCTCATATGTAACGGAGTTCATTCTGATGAAGTTTTGGTATAATGCAGAGTTCATCAACTGCATTCCAGATGTCAGACTTTGATAATGCCCATGTGTTTTTCTCTCTTTTAAAAGAGGCCTTACATGCCACTTAGGTTTAGATCTAGAAATAGATGTAAAAAGACAAAAAGTTTGTTAAGCACTAGGTAAAATATATTTTACCTGGGTATTTTGTTCTTCAACTCAAGAGTAGAAATATATAATAATAATAATTTTCTCCTATAAACTTCTAAATTATAATTATAAGTTTCTAATTCGTGTTTTCTTTTCATCATTACCTATGTATCACAGAATAGATTAAGATAGAATTAGAATAAGATCAAATCTGTATTCTGTATTTCTGTGTATGCATTCTACTATTATGAATATGATTTATGAAGCTCAAAAAAAAAAACCTAAAAATAGTTTTAAAGTATACGTTGTTTTTTTTATCATTTCTTATCTAATCGGAAAATATTCATGGCTGGTATAAAACAACATTAACCGTACATTTTCAATACGTGCGTTTTAGTCGTGCGTACGTGCGTCTGCAATAAACGTGCACGTACACGCAAACGGTCCAGTGGAAACCCACCTTTATCTTATTTTCCTATTCGTCGTGGTATTCTTTGCCTACCTACAGAACTAAAACGCACACGCCACATTTGCGGACGCACGAACACGGCCGCTACGGCGCAACTTGACTGAAAAATGGGTGGAATGTGAAATTTGAATGGTGAATCACCAAAACGATCGATCAGTCGTCAGTGGTCACTGCCGCCGCTTGCGCCCATGCGCACGGACGCCTCTCGCCGATGTTCGTCTTCGCATTATTTTAGTGTGCAACCACCGACCGTCAGCACTCATCAAATACAAAATATAATCTACATAATAAAATTCCAATAACGTTTATACTAATATTACTATTATCTATTTTACACGTGCAGGCAGTTCTGTTGCTCAACTCTCGCCATTGTATATTATATTATCATAATTTTAAGTAATAATAATAATAATTTAACTTCGACAGGTACTAACCTGCCCATCTGTTTTTCTCGTCTACGGATTCCATCTACTCAGCTGATACCAGCGCACCTCTGTTCTAGTTGGATCTTGATCTATTTATTTCATAATAATAGTATTATAGTGATTAGTGATCATTTATTATACTTTAAAGTAAATTATGTGAAATAAGTAGCGTATATTTTTTAACACTCACCTACTTTTACACTAATCGAATTAAGTTTTCCGTCATGGATAACAACCACCAGCTGAAGAGATCTATCGAGGACGACGACGGTACGTAAATACGCCTGTCTATAACATTTCAATTATCATACTTTTTAATTAGGATAGCCAGATATCAAATACGAAAATACGGGACTTAATCAATAGTTAAAGAGATGCCTAAATATTTAATGTCTTAATGATTACTGAATAATGTAATTTACGAAAATTATAAAATGATTTTTTTGGATATTTCATCACAATTTTAAAATATATTAATAATAAACATTTTTTAGCATTCATAAGTATTAACTATATTGCCTATTAATATAATAAACTACAAAGGCAACATTTTTGGGATGAATATATGTTTTTAAAATTGTTTTAGTTTCCAACAGAAAATCATGAAACGCTGAGCGCTAACTGACAAAATATAAAACTTATAAATATTTCATAGAGACTGACATAATTATGAGTGAAATCATTTCCCTATATATTGCAAATAATATAGGTACACGTATTGTACTACACTAATATTATGTTTTATCGTCGGTCTTTCACAACGTCGTGATCTATGCGGGCTGTGATCCACCACAACGAAGATCAAAAATAACTTTATATTCGAATGATCAAATTTGATACATACAAATCGGTTATCATAATAATATTAGGTATATTTAATAGAGATAGGTGGTAGATGAAGATTGTATTTTTAATTTTACTTAATTTTCTTTACAAATTTAAAAAAACGGGGTATGTTAGCGGACCCCAAAAAAATGTCATGTTGTTTGTGGGCTGTGTATGATGTTATATAAACCAAATTTATCATTTGGCAGATTTCACGAAAGGATAATAATATTATACATATATATAAATATAAGTCACGATAAAAATTGATAAAATACCATAGCTCACAAGGCCACAACCAACATGTTGAAAAAGAGTCATCACCAGTCTCGCTTATCAATGTTAAGTAGTTAGCATTATATCTGTGTCATACAAGGAAAAAGTAAAAATCCCTAGTACTTAATTATTTAAAAATTAGGAAAACCAATAAAACAATGTAGGATAAGCCAAACATTTTTTCCACAAAGTATTTTTATTATGTTGTGATTCAAAACAAATAACTGTACTAAAATACTGAAATAATGTTCTCAACATACATAGACTAACATTTTCTATATATGGATAGGTGATCTAATATTTTGACTACCTTTTCTTGTACTCCTACTTGAGATTTATTGATATTATTTAATATTAATATTTTTTTGATATATTGTTACAGACAACTTAAATAATGATGAGTATGACGTTACATGGGGTGGGAAAAGATCTAGGTACCTGTATACTTATAAATTACAGTCACCACTGCCACAAACAACTGCTGATACAAGCGAATCAGAGACTGATAGTGTTCAAACCACTAGGACAAAATCAACAGGTAGGTAGCTATCTATCTAATTAAAAAACAAATCAACTATTTTATATGGATGATTATTTTATCAATTTAAAATTAAAATGTTTTGTTATAATAATAAATGCATATTTATTTTCACTCTTAAGTTCAATAACATTTTTGATATGACAAGACAAGTATTTAAAAAATATAAAACAATTTTCATGAATCACTAAAAGACAGAAGTAAATACATATCAATAAATAATAATTAGTATAATAATTATGACTTATACCTCTATTTTTATTTTGTTTTTATGTTATTTGTTGAATGATCAATAAATTATTTAAATATATTTTAAACTTGAGTACTTTTGTCACTGGATTATTTTTGTGGGATACAATGTCCCAATTAAAAAAACTTATACTTACTCAAATATTACAGTAGTTCAATATTTCATTAATGTACATTCATCAGTTGCCTGATTCATATTGGCTGATATAAACTATGAATTTTAAGATAATATTATGTACAATTTTAATTTTTAATTATCAAGGCACCTAATTACTAAATGTGAGCTTAACAATAATTTATTTAGTTATATTCTATATTACCTAATTAAACATTGTTTTGTTTAATAAACAAATATATATATTAATAGTAACAACAGGGCTATATTTTTTTTGTGGTGTGAGGGGGGGGGGGGTTTGAACACCCAAAACCCACTCCTATTCACGCTCCTAAGTACCTAATAACATCATATTATAAAATATCAAAATTTCATGTACTATTGATTGAAAATTAAACACAAGTTAGTTTTGGAATTTATTTTATAACACTTACATACAGCGATACTTAGTTAATACAATGCAACCAAGCACTTATTTATATCAATAGCTTGGGAATTTTGGTGAGAAAGCTCTGTTTAGAAGAGTTGTTGAGTATCTACCTACAACTTTTTTTTTACGCCTACCCAATGTTATATTCAACTTTAAAAAGCTAAACTTAATTTATTTTTAGTTGAAGTCATCAGTCAAAAAGATACATCTACTGAAAGTTGTTCAAGTAACTGTAGTTGTAAAAATTCTAAAAATACTGATGGAGCTGAAGAGTTTGAAGAATTTGAAGTCAGAAGTTCATCATCATGCCATAATATTCATTTTAATTCTTCAGACTCTTCAACAATACTAACAAATGAGGTAAAATTAACCCAAACTTATCTAATATATGTTTGTAATACATTAATTGAAATAGTTTGTAATTAACATTATCAATATATGGGAATTGAGAAATAATGAAGCCATTGTGTAATTTTCTTAATTTAGTAATTGTATATTGTTTTACTTAGTTGTAAAAATGTGAAATTATTTTTAAAAATATTTGAGAAGTGTAATACACCAGAATAAATAATTAATATTAACACTGGCTTGGTAGATTTTTGATAAATGACCTGCCTAAAATTTGAGTAAAATAAATTAGGAATTCATATTACCTATGAAATAAAAACAGTTTTTTCAGGAGATTACATTTTCTATTTAGGTTCACTTGAACATTTTAAGTTAATTTTAATATAGATACATCCTAATTCATTTTAAACTAACACAATTGTTTAATCTTTAGGCTTCACAGAACATTATAATCTGCAGTGACACATTACCTGATATTGACAATGGACACAATGAAGATTAACCAAATATCTACACTGACTACAAATTTGCCACCTCCTGCTTGTTTCAAAAAATGCCTACAGTGTAGCAAAGAAAATCCAAATCCATATTTTCAATTTTGTTTTACATGTTTCAAAGTAAGTGATTTGAATTTTAACAGAGTTAATATTTTATTTAACTCTCCACTTAAATGTACCCAGAGAATTATAATTAGAATCATGGTAAAACATTATAATTATCGTACTTTGACTTATTTAAAATGCCATAAATCACAACTTTTGTTCAACTACACGAAAAATGTCAACTATAGAAATATAATATAAAAATAAAACAAAATTTGAATATTTTTATAATAAAAATATTTAAATTAAATTCTATATGAATATAGAGGAATAAGACCATAGACTATAAAATATTAAAGCTATCCAAAATAAATCTAGATATGAATATGGAACTTAAAAAAATATGTAATCAATTATTTTATTAAATATTTATGGGGGG